ATGCAAGCCTGCTGGAACCAGCAACATTGGCCTACAATTCACCAGCATTCCTAACACTCAAGAAGAACTGAAACGCTGGCACACTGGCCACCAAAAATGGCAACTTGTAGAATACTATTGGAAATTGAATGAGCAACTGCTCCATGACAATTATCCAACTCCTATTATACAGGACCTACTCAACGCATGAGAAAAAAATGCCTGCTTTTGTGCAATTGATCTTCATTTGGCATAAGAGGTAGACAGATAAACGGTCCTTCTAACTGTGTTCTGACTGAAAACCTGTGGTTTCCCGGTTTACGTCATGAGTCATGAGGGGAAACCGGAGACGTTACCTGACCGGACGAAGGTCACGAGATACAACTTGGTACTGCGCAAACATCTCATGAAATGTTGCGTTGAGTATATGGACAACATCATTGTCTTTGGTGGTTTGTTCAACTTGGTGAGGATCAATTTACACAAAGGTCTTTACAATCTCCAGCATGTGGGTGCTGCAATTGACCTGAACAAATATACTTTTCTTGCCACAGAAATTGAATTCTTGGGCCATGCAGGGACACAACCCACCGAACACAACTTATAGGCAGTGAAAGACAACCTAGCTCCACACACCACCAAGGAGATGCAGAGGCACCAGACAGGACCCAGACGAACGTAAACAGTGAGACTGAACCCACCTTGATCCAAAGAGCCTGCACCAAGTGTGTGTACGCCGTGAAATCTGTATCTCAGACAATATACCTGCCGTACCTGCTCTACCGTGTAGACATTTACCATATTACGAGAGTTCCGTTCTTAAATTCTTCGGAACAGTTCAGTTAAAACATACACATCCAGCAATGTCCAGCCTCCACCACCCACATGGATTGAGAGGCACGCTCAAGCTCAACCACACAAGCAACAAATTAAATTCAACGATGTCCAGCCGGTAAAAAAGAGACAATTCAAAAGTTCAGGTTTGTACACAGACATCCAAGCTATCTGGAAGAGTTGAAGGATCTTCCCTATTCCCACAGTATTTCTAGAATATGGCGCATATCTAAAACATGGAGCGTCCAGAAAATAACCACGAACCACACGATAAGAAATCACCATACCGCAGGACAAACAGAGACCGAAGCGTACCAGGAAGATTGCACACGGATAGACAAAACCTGACCTACGTCCTGTATGCCCCATTTGATCGCAACTGCACGCAGGTAAAGTATTGGTACCTCCGCGCTTCATCACTAGAGCGCATAGCGCTAGTGATTTGAGGTGCCCTCGCCTTCTGTGACACAGTGAGTGAAGCCGGATGATAGTATTGAGTCCTTCCGCGCCACGTCACTTCGTTTTTATATTTATTCTTTGAGTTTGTAGACAACGCTGCACAGTGTTAGACTGCAAACATAATCGTCAAAGAAAGCATCGGGGATTATTCCGTTTCACAAGACCCACATTTTTATGCATATCGTTCAAGATTTAAGCGGGAACACATAACAAGATGCGGAATTTCGGATGGACTCAATTCTTATAAACTGAAGTCCGAAAAAACTTCTAATCCTGACTAAGTTCAACACCAACCTTTCAGTGTTTTCCGGTTTTCGAGTTCGGAGAGTCTCTGAACCAAAAAAAAAAATGAGGCCTACGTATCGGTAAGCGAGACTTCAAAAAAGTCAAAATTCATCACCCAGAAATCTGCATCAAAATAAAAATGCTCTGAACTTAGAACAAAACTCATCCTTCGGAGTTTCACTGTGGTTGTGCTCCTTGAACACGCAGCTCTACATCAAGATCACAAGAACTAAGAATGCATTCCCAATTTTCTGAACAGACAGCGACAACAGGCATGGGATGAGATGAATTAGTACCATAACTCCCGAACACAACATTGAAAACATCTCACTTCAACTTTTCCCGGAACAGAAACAATATCATAGGCACACTGAGGAAGCTAGCGCACAGTTCACACGGAAAATAATTCTACACTAGAATTATATGTGCTTTTCTAGACATTAAATCAGACACAGAACTAAATTCCGCTCAAATCATTCCTTCACATGCTTCTGCTACTTCACCGGACTTCAGGCTCATCACGGAGTCTCGTACTTCCTCGCACACTCACTCGCACAATGACTCCGGTTCAGTTTCACAGCTCCACTAGAGGGCACAGCCATATGAAAGTCTACCATAACTGTGCCAGAGTTCTGGTCGCGATAGGCACCGCCTCTTCGTCCCCTTTCAACATGTACCCTCCGCACAAAAGGGCAGAGCTTGCCAACCAAGAGCCGCAGAGGTTATTGCCTTTCTCCCCTTCATAAATTAGACATTGAAACTTTTTTTTGAAAAGCATTTGAAAAACCGTAGAAATGCAACTGAAGCCTAAACTTAACCAACCAACTGATCTCAGTCAAAAGTAACAATGAGTAGTTTGAAAATACACTTAGACCTCAATAACTCAGGTCTCCATCACATATACTGTGCCTGAGTAAAAAAAACCTCCCCACACTGCATTGTGTGTTAAATTGTTTAGTCTTTGTCTGAATTCAATAAAGAAAAATATGTACTGCATAGACCTCCCTTACCAAAAGACTAGCCCCCTTAAACTTTTGTAATTTTAATTTCTGANTCTCGCGTATCGCGATCACTAAACTCCACGGGAGCGGAAGACACTGTGTCACTCACTTCGGCCTACTATCATAACTCAGGAAGGCGCGGTGCAGTGAAGCAAAAATATAAATAAGAAACTCAAACATCACAACACGGCCCGTTAGACTGCAAACATAATCGTCAAAGAAAGCATCGGGGATTATTCCGTTTCACAAGACCCACATTTTCATGCATATCGTTCAAGATTTAAGCGGGAACACGTAACAAGATGCGGAATTTCGGATGGACTCAATTCTTATAAACTGAAGTCCGAAAAGACTTCTAATCCTGACTAAGTTCAACACCAACCTTTCAGTGTTTTCCGGTTTTCGAGTTCGGAGAGTCTCTGAACCAAAAAAAAAGTGAGGCCTACGTATCGGTAAGCGAGACTTCAAAAAAGTCAAAATTCATCACCCAGAAATCTGCATCAAAATAAAAATGCTCTGAACTTAGAACAAAACTCATCCTTCGGAGTTTCACTGTGGTTGTGCTCCTTGAACACGCAGCTCTACATCAAGATCACAAGAACTAAGAATGCATTCCCAATTTTCTGAACAGACAGCGACAACAGGCATGGGATGAGATGAATTAGTACCATAACTCCCGAACACAACATTGAAAACATCTCACTTCAACTTTTCCCGGAACAGAAACAATATCATAGGCACACTGAGGAAGCTAGCGCACAGTTCACACGGAAAATAATTCTACACTAGAATTATATGTGCTTTTCTAGACATTAAATCAGACACAGAACTAAATTCCGCTCAAATCATTCCTTCACATGCTTCTGCTACTTCACCGGACTTCAGGCTCATCACGGAGTCTCGTACTTCCTCGCACACTCACTCGCACAATGACTCCGGTTCAGTTTCACAGCTCCACTAGAGGGCACAGCCATATGAAAGTCTACCATAACTGTGCCAGAGTTCTGGTCGCGATAGGCACCGCCTCTTCGTCCCCTTTCAACATGTACCCTCCGCACAAAAGGGCAGAGCTTGCCAACCAAGAGCCGCAGAGGTTATTGCCTTTCTCCCCTTCATAAATTAGACATTGAAACTTTTTTTTGAAAAGCATTTGAAAAACCGTAGAAATGCAACTGAAGCCTAAACTTAACCAACCAACTGATCTCAGTCAAAAGTAACAATGAGTAGTTTGAAAATACACTTAGACCTCAATAACTCAGGTCTCCATCACATATACTGTGCCTGAGTAAAAAAAAAAAACCTCCCCACACTGCATTGTGTGTCAAATTGTTTAGTCTTTGTCTGAATTCAATCAAGAAAAATATGTACTGCATAGACATCCCTTACCAAAAGACTAGCCCCCTTAAACTTTTGTAATTTTAATTTCTGAAGGCCTACTTCACATGCGGGTAACTATTTTGAGAATAAGCAGGAAAAGGAAAAGCCTCAACAATGTAAGTTGATACTGTATATTTCAAAAGGAAGTGAATGAACACATTTGCTCGGCAGTTTATATAAGGTGCGGAGGATGAATATAAGAATAATATCATTAATTTTAGCGCATATACTGTATATTCTCATAAAACTAATCAATCATTAAAAATAAGAAATACGGCAGTAAATATTCTAACTAGCCAGAGTAAATAATGCATCAGAAATCAGCCTGATCTGATACGTATCAGCTGGCTGGTTTTGCTGAAAGTTTGCACAATAAATCAAACCATAAATATATGTGCAGTACATCAGGTATTATAAATTAATGCATCATACCGCTGCTGTGACACGCATTAGACAAATAAAGAAAAATAATGGGAAACATATCACCACATATATGTCCCTTCTTTCACATATGGATCACAATTTGTATTGTGAAACCAAGCATCAGAACTCCGTGCTTTCCAATTCTGTGAGGAAATTATGTTTTAAAAAGATACGAAATTGAAGCAATATCCCGAATATGGCCTTCCAGGGGGAATTTCCACTATGAGTCGTCTTTTTCTTTCGCTGCTCATCGTCGAAGGGATTTTTTCCAGAGACACAGCAGAAAACTTTCGATTCTATACATCATATTATTATTAGGTCGTGCATTATTTTATTGCTGTTAGGAAGAAGCTGTGCATTCACCAAGTACGCTGTAGACCGGTAGCTTTTCATTGGCACGTTGGCCCTAAGGAGGGAGCGAATGGCATGAAAAGCTGAGGCGTTCCATTTTGAATTTACAGTCACGAACGTAGTAGTTGACTTTATTTAACTAACTGCCAATTATTCCTTCACATAATGACTGATACAAACATGCTAGGCAGCTAAGAAGCCCTGTGAAAACCCAGGCATATGTTGATGGTGTCCGTCGTGCGTAATTTATAAAAATGTCTCCCTGCAAACCGAAGTAAAAATGCACATGAATAGCGAGTAAACTCTGAAAAATTTTTAATTTTCATTTCGGAAAGCCCACAATCACGCCAAAAAAACGCTTGCAAAAATAAATAAACGCGTGTATGTACATGTCTATCACAAAAAACGTGAGGAATCTGCCGACTGAAGTGAAATTGGTTAACCACAGTTCAGCAATATTGCAGTCGGATTTTTAGTGCATGTTACGTCAAGTTCAGCTTACACGGATCAATAAACGTTGGCGAAACACATGAACAGAAATGTTGGCAGACGCGGATGTATCTGGAAGACAAGGTCAATCGACCGATCTTCCGATACACCGACTCGCTTAAAAATATAAAAGCCGAACAATCTTCGATTAATTCACAGCCCACTGCACATAAGTGTTCAGTCCGTGGTGTCCATATTCTCTAAAATGGTCCAATGCTCAAGCTGTCATGTATCTTGGGTCTTCCGTAGTCCTGCAGCACATCTGGAATTTTAAAAATTGAAAACATGAGCGTAAGGCACAGAAATTCGGATTTTAAAATAAAATATCAGACTTCCAGAAAATTTTTTCAATCCAGAGATAAGATGCGACGAATAATCGACTCATGCACTAAAATATTGTATGCGCACTAGCGTACAATATCATAAGTTGCGCTTCATTGAGCGATGGATCATTAAAAATTGAAGGATGACACAAAGCTCAATATAGTACAACAATCCCCTCGCTGACCCGAAGTGTATCCTGGAATATAAAAAATAAAATAAAAAACACGGCGAAATAAGGTGATGACATTTCATAATGGGTACGGTCTACGGTCACACTAGAAACGCCGCCATTTTACGCTGTTTTCTGGCTCAAGCTTTGCATCCTAGCATTCAACTTCCTGCCAATAATTGTGAATAGAAACCAAGCGGTTGAATCACAACAGAAGGCTTTAAACTCGACGTACAGTAGCTTGCTCTCTGGTTCTGAGAAGAATGCCAAAAAACCGTATCTCAACGTGACAATAATCACAAGTACGAGAAGCGCGGCATTCATCAGAATAATTTAAGCTGGCTGGTATACAGATGACAAAAATAAATAAAATTATCTATCCGCAACTGCATTCGCATCACGTACGAACACATCTTCGAATACCAATTATGAGCATATATTCCCATAACATTGCATTTATGCACGTCACATCCGGAAATTCCAAGACCACGTATTCTACCGTAAGTAACTCGTACATAAAAATTAGCTTTTATAGTTTCTATTAGCAAGTTCGCATCAGAGGTTTCACATGTCCTCGCATACTTCAATCGCCAAATGAGAAATACTGTGCGGCATACTCCTAGAGATTCACTGCATCAGAAATCAGCCCGATCAGCTGATGGATAGCTATGGTTTTGCTGGAAGTTTGCACAAAGCAAAACGTGTGCAATAAAAGAATGGATGATAGGTGACGCGGCATTATAGACGGAAGAAAACGCGAGGGAAATGAAAGGATCGCCCGTGTCCCACTGTTTTACTCATTTACTGAATCATATTTTGTATATGGTGAAACCCAGCAGCAGCAAAAATCCGCATTTAAATTTCGTGGAACCTGAAAATACAGTATGCAGTACAGTATATAAATATACGCTTATGCAAAACCATGCGTGAAAAAAAGTGTTTAGAGAAAAATTATGCTATCGGTAAGTGTCATATGGAGAATTTCCGCTGGGTCCTTTTTTTCTCGCTGCCTCCTCATCCAAGAGATTTTCTGTAGACAAGCAAAAGCATATCCTTTGTACTGCAGTTAGAAAGAAGCTGTGTTTGTCATCGGGCGACATCTGGCCCTAAAAAAGTAATCGTGCTACCATGTCCTATCCCTCTCCCCTCGCTCAGCCTACTGTATTTTGTAAGGGAAATGGCAGTGTTCGTTCAATAATAGAAACATGACAGCACACGTTCAGGAGAGATTTTAACACAGAAAAAGGAAGAAATGAGCACGGGTTCTGTACGAACTGGAAGTTTGATGAATCAAGTTTCCAGTTCTAGCACTCCCAGCACTTTTTCTTCGAGCACAAGCATCGGACATGACGGAACTTCTGAATTCCAATTGCTTATATAAAGTTTCGTCATTCTCTTAATCATAGCTTTCTCGAAAATTACCAATTCACTCTTCAATTCAGTATACAAACCTGGTCAAAGCAAAATTTCGTAGCAACACAAAACATAACTCCGCCCATCAGTCCAAACGCCAATGCAAGGGCAAACGACTCCGGTACAGTGATGGACAGAGTGATACCGGCAGCCAGCAGCACAGCGCCCAAAAATCCTAGCGCGCCGAAAGTGATCGAACACATGCCAATTGTCTTATTAAAACTTCGTCACTCCAGTAATGAAAGTCATGCGAATCCGCCCCTGATGAAAGGAAAAGAATTTCAATATAAGTACAAACTCCTTGAGATAATGAACTTTTGGATCTTCCGCTGGTTTAACAAGGCGTGACACCTACCCTAAGACGTGAGAGTTGAGACATTTATTGATCCAACATCAGTTGAGCTACGTGGTGCGTCTCACAGAGATGGCATACGACATAGGCTATACAATATACAGTACATCTAAGATAAATACAAACTGAAGCAAGAAATAATCATTTGGTCGCGGAACCTCCTTCACAGTGGACTACTTTCTGAATTTATTTAGATAGTCTCCACTTTCGGCAAACGGCAAGAGTATAGTTGACAAATCACTTCTTGGGCACCATGAAATACACGTACCAGCAGTAAGTTGAAGTTACGTAGAGAGTAGAGTAGAACATTAAAATATGCGCTTCGCAATTTCAGCAATTACTCACACCTGCTTTTTCATGCTTCGGTCTGTCAAAACATCTTTCTTTTTTATCCCTGGTCTCAATTTTCCAGGACGTAAATACAAGTCCATCGAAAACCACGCTCTAGAATTGAAAATGTTTGAATAGCTCGAAGCAGGAACCCGCGGCGATAACTGAACTGCGCTGTTGTTATGGTATTCGTCATTATTGAAGAAGGGAGACTATTACGAGACCGAAATGGCATTTCTTAGTCTTGGATAATAATCTTGAGAAGTAATTTTATTCATTCAAGAAGAACATATACGTCCGAAACAAAAGTGGAGCTCATTTCTTTTCTTTAAAAAATCCCATAAGATAAAATATCACACGATCGCACCGATACATATAGGGCACATATTATCAGAACGTGATTACTGATGAAAATTGAAAAGAGGCCTATGTACACTTCGAACGAACAGTCCAGTCTGTAACAGTCATATACACAAGCCCACATCAGGCGACTAAGAAGTCCGCAATGAACGAAGCGCGTTTCGTCATTTATTCCCGTGTTCGATACCACATTCGATTAAAAAGGACCACTTTTACTCCACGGAAGGCTCACAGAACCGAACAGCCTGTTGCAGCAACACCTGCAGCTTTACACTGGGCAGTAAATACGCAAGTTATGGCATTTCGATAACAAGAACTACCCACAAGCACCGCTTGCATCTGTAATGCATTTGGATGCGCAAACCCGGCCGGAGAGAAAAAGAAGCGACTTCACCGGCGTACAGTATTCCAAACGCATGGTTCTTCGACGGAGAATGCTGAAAGTTCTGCTCGGGCGAAGCTTCCATACAGACCAGACATTGCATCATTAGCTCTTCTCGGACTGCTTCAGGACTTCATGTCTCATCGCGGAAATATGCACAGATGAAAAATACACACACAGAGCAGAGAAAAACGCTGGCACTCAAATAGCATGTTCCACGCAGTGAAAGCGTGGAAAGACAGAGACTGCGCGAAGCATCTGAGTGGACTAGCCTGCGCGCAAGTTGGGGCGCTCACGGGCGACCGGCGTCCCCGGGTCTGTGTTTTATTTTTCTCCGCTTTTTTTTCGGAGCACGCATGATTCCAAAGCTTTTCACGCCGCGTGTGCAGGCGGGTGTCACGCCCCAAACGTATCTCGTATCCCAGAAAAATGCGTCCCTCTGATACATGGGCATGTGGGAGACCTTCCGCGGGGGATGTCTTCAGGTCGTTGTTCGCTTGCCCCAGGATCAGTTTCTCGAGAGGGAGGATTTTTGTGGGTCGGGTGCTAGTAAGAGCAGGTTTCCGGGATTTGAAGCATAATTTAACATTACCCCTTGCCCCTTTACCCGGAAAATAAACTCGTGCCGCATTTAACATATGCTTCACATACTTTTTTTAAAATACCGTAACATCTTCCCGCAGTCACGGATTATTTAGTTCAATACCAGCACGCGCTGCTTGAGATAACAGACAGGAAGAAGAAATCGAAGTTTTTTTTGGCATATCGGCTATCAGCAATTTGTCAAACATGCAGGATATTTTGATGATGTTTGCTGAAGTACCATGAACCCTCAAGCAAGATGGATTTTTCGGTTTTTTTCGCTGAAATTTTATTTCAAAACCTATTCCCAAGCAGAACACAAAGCAGAAAAATTGAAATATTTTGAAAGTGACAAAATTTAATTTTGCACTTGAATTTAACCGGAACTAAATTATTTTAAATGACTAATTTTTCACTAAAATCTACTTGTACAGTAGGAATAAAGGTTCCGACTTCGAGACTCTTTAAGCACCCTCGCAGTTTTTGCAATGACGTCCAGTAGCAACGCATGATAAAAACGTAAGGGACTTAATGAGAAATTAATAAAATAATACGAGCCATAAATATTATTAAGGCAGAAGAAGCCTGGTTAAAATATGAATTGAATAAGATCACAGATAAATTGAGACAAGTTTGAAGTATACTTTATACATGGATCCTGTGCGAAATCGTTAAATTCGCGATTATGTTTACCGACCAGTTGAGAGAAGCATTTATCCGTTTTATTACGACTTCGAGAACAGTATTCTCACTCATAAATTCATGAATCTGTCAGACAGTGTGGAGCCATAATTCAGCAAAATATCTGTAAGAATCTTAGCAACCAGCGGGGATACGGTTGGAAAAAAAGAGATTAAACATGGACATCAAATTCAATGGAACATATAAAGGAGCACAGAATTGGAACTTTCCGTGGAATAAACCCGAATGGTCCTCTCGTTTTGAAAAAAAGAAGAAAAACGAACACCTGGATCAGGAGAACATATACCGCAACACCATTTGCTCAACCATCCATGTCGAAGTTTGGTTTTTCGCAGCCAACAAACGAATCTGTGAACCAAAAAGTCGTTATGGATGGAGGAGAACAAACAAAATTTCCCCACAGAGAAAGCTACCCTTCTATTCAACACAATAAAAGCCATAGGGTTACATTTTTTAAAACTTGAAATTCGATCTTGCATTCCGGTATGTTAGACAGGTAATTCTCTGAATAAAAATAAGAATAAAAAACTCGACAATTTTTTTTTGGCTGAACCGCAGTGAACTCAACCGTAAACTTACCCAACTCAACCTCACGTAATTTACTGCAATCGAACAATACCTAACCCGACTTAAACCCAAGAAAATGTGACGAAATAAAGGCAATGCGCATGCATGTGATAATTACAACAAAAATGCAAGAGAAGAGTTCGGGAATAAGGGATTTTTTAATTAACAAAGAATCTTAAAAATAGAGGGGTTCGCTGAGAATACGTTGGTTAACATTTTTCGCTGCGAATGTAAAATGGAGTAAAATGACTCGAATTAAGTAGTGCTTTACTCTCTAGCATGCTAGCATCAGACAGCTCTATAATCCCGCATTCATTTTTCCCTTGAACCCATCCCCCGCACTGCTCCATCAGGCTGGATAGATCATCCGCATGCATTGGCAGACGGGGCTGAGCTCGATCCGTTGCGCTAACTAGCGGTGCTCCGTTTTTATCTAGAAGATGTTACTTGAACTGAGTGTGTAGAGGTCGCTCTTACACCCTAACAAGCTTATAGCCCAGATATCCCCTCTGCTAGGCAGCAAAGTGATGAGTTAGTGAAAAGAATCTTTCTGCAACATTGTGATACGTGACTATGTCGGAAATTACGGAGGAGAAAAGGGCGTACAATTTTTCCATGAGACCGAGAAAGCATTCTAAGCTCTATAAAATGTAAAAATATTCCTGGTGCGAATTTCATTTTAGGTACAGTATTTAGTTTATGGAAGAAAGAAACATACCCAGCAGTCATGTGGTTTTGGAATTTGCTGCATCAATGCGGATTAATCAACTTTGTTCATGGCTGAGGAAATCTGGGAGTCCAACGAAAGTAGGCATTTGAAAAAAACGAGATGTTTTCCTTATTTGTCCATTAGGAAAAATAATGATCAAATTGTTTCAGATGGTGGGAAATGACGATCGCTGCCGCGCGTTCAATTTTTCTCACGGAGCCATCCCAACTTGCTTCTACCTCTGAGTTTCATCCCTGATCCCAGAAAACTCCCCCAGTTTTTGTCCGTTGACACAGTAGGGGATATTTTTATGTTTCACTTAAATAATGATCCATACAAATCTTGAAATCATAGAATCACTATGACTAAGACAACATCAGGACGCAAGGACTATAGTCCCGATAGCCGCGCGGCGAGGCGACCTGCGCAGCCGCCCCGCGTGCTCAGCTGGGAACCTTCCGTCAAGTAGGACGAAGTAATTGCAAGCGTCCGCTGAACTCGTTTTTCTCTCGGTTACGGGGACGACTAAGATATGCCGCCTTATTCCCTCGGCGTAATGTTACGCTGCTTATACCGTGGACCGACGCAGAGGACGCCTTTATTTAATCCAATACGGTCTCGCGCGTCGCCGCCGCCGCGGCGGCCGGAACTGGCCGGATTCTCCAGTGACGAATGAATTCCGTTGAAGTACACTTAGTGCGAAGACATTTTTACAACATGTCTAAAAGTGGGGTTCGATCAAGTTGTTTTGATTTATAAAATCGGAGACATGGAACAGTGTTTAAATTCAGGTTCTTCTGTCTGCATGGTGACGTACCGCAGAAATTCTCGGCTGGTTTGAGAGGGCATTCTTTTCAGTGATGCATGCTTTATTTATATTGCGGATCTCTTATTTCTCCAATACGTAGAATAAGGAACTATGATCCAAAATATATTTTTGCGCAGTGAGAAGCCAGTGACATTAAAAAAAGTGTTATGCTCGTAAAATCGCGTCAAGAGTTCAATACCTTCCGGGCAAATGTTCGCATATTGACCAATAGGATTTTCCAAATAACGAATATATACTGTATTAAAAATCGGAATGATAGAAAATGAAGGAAGAATTTGTTTGAGTGCTGGTCAACGGATGTTTACTTCGGAATGAATGATTGCAAATCGCAGAAAATAATTTCTGAGTTTGCAAGCAGATTCTACGTCGTGCTGGAAATTTGCATCGGAGTTTCCTTTGCAACGTGTTTTATGATCCCCAAAATTTATTTTGCAATATGCCAGCAATGTTATTTTATGCTACAGTAAA